GACCAGAAGACCGCACATGCCACCTGCTGGTCAGACCAGAAACCGAATCGTGACAGAAATACCACTTAATGGCCAAGCGCACAGCTGAGTGAGTACTCCGCCCCCTCGTCTGAGACGGACAGCTATGGATAATTTCAAAGCGAAGAAAATGGCGAAGAACAAATTAGCAGAAGCCATAGCTAAATGTATGGCTACTGCATGCAAGCCTGTCAACATTGTCCACAGCTCGACTCAAGCTGACACTGACGCGATTGTTACTTGTTTGAGACTATTTTGTGTGGAAGGTTACAGTGTTCCGTGTCCATATAAATAAAGCGGGTGGAGCTTCTCTGTGTTCGTCTGACAGCGACGGTGCGCTGAGGCACCTCGAGAGTTCAGCGGTGCAGTGGTAGCGGACACACTGAAAATAAGAAAACGTCTCCAGTGTTGTGCCTCGAACCAAGTGTAGTCACCCGAAATGATGTCTACACAAAACTGTCGAGAGACTTCCGAGGACCAATAAGGACCAACAGAATCAACATAGCCTGACTGCTGTGTTCAAAGCAAACTTGAGAAAAACGAAGTATGCAACCATGGCTTAAATCCACTCTAGGCTGAGTACTAGTTTACCTTAGATGTGCACTTTATAATGCTATATTGCTCTGTTTTGATTCCATAAAAAGAGCTGTTAAAGCAGCTGTTGTGTGACAAAATATTTTTTTCACTGTTGTTGATGGACAGTAATATTGTGTGAGAGATTATGTGTGAATAACTGCTCCAAGTGAAAAATGTTCATGTAAAATTGAAAATCGAATTTGTTATTTCAGTAAATATTTGCATTTTGCACAAAGAAAACTGATTCATGATTCCATGTTGATGAGAGCATTAAAATGGGGAAAAAATAGGACAAAAAAATATAAATGGAAATTCAGAACCAATAAAAAAATGCGTGAGTAATCACAATTAATTTTTAGTGAATTTGAGTTAATTATGACAGTTGCGTTTTAATTTGATTAAATATTTTAATCGTTTGATGATAAAACACACACACACACACACACACACACACACACACACACACACACACACAAAACTAGGCAATGCTTTGGTAGGGAGCAAAACTCAGCGCATCTGGTTGCTAGTCAAAAGTCTGCTTCTGTTCAATCTTGGTCTCGCTCTGATCATTCATTAATGACTTTTTCATTTCTTCTCCGCTTCTATGCAGCCCCACACATCTTCTCATCCTTCCACAAGCCCGTCGCCTTGGACATGCGGCATCATGAAGGATGCCCCTCGTACCACTACGAGCCGCACACTCTCCACGCCGTACACAGGTGAGTGAATGCTTGCCTCGTATACACACAGCTCCGCTTCCGGGGAGCAGACATGTTGGGGTCTGAACTTTGTGAGGGGTCAGAAGGGGGTAAGAGTGAATGAATTCTTCGGCTTAGGCTCTGAATCGCCCGCGACCCTAGTGAGGATAAGCGGTGTCAAAAATGGATGGATGGAGTGGTCCTCCATTGAAATGAACACGCTTTGCGCCTGGCAACAGCGGAGCCATTTATCACGCGGTCTCGGTTTGTGTGGGGCGGGGGAGATGCTCGGGGGTGGCGCTTGTGGTTGGAGGTTTTTACGCCTGTCCTCAGACGCGGCCACCTTGATTAATGTGATTTGATCTTGACAGTGGACCCCTCATTCATCAAGACCTTGATCTAGCTGTCCCTCCCATTGCCAGTGCCAAATTCACCTAATTACAGCAACATTGAGCAGTAAATGAATTGTTGTGTCATTTGTGGCCCGGCGTGGCACTTTGTTAAGACTTGTTGGCACTTTGTTATGGTGCCCGTGGCACCGTTAGGGGTCTCCTGCTCCTTGATTGTCCAACATGACACCTCAGCGCCAGCACACTCATCACCGGGAGCTGACGCAGACAGTGGAAGCAGACTGCTGTTATACAGTAAGGTAGAGTAGAGTGCAGATATACACAAAGGGCCGGTACCGTGCATATTTTAGGCTGTTCCTTCCTGCAACACACCTGATTCAAATGATCAGGTCATCAGCAAGCTCTGTAGATGCCTGACAATGATCCTGATCATTTGAATCAGATGTGTTGGAGGAGGGAAACATGGAAAAGATGCAGGCTAGCAACCCTCGAGAACTGGACTTGGGTCGTCTTTTGTCCCTTTTGGCTGGCGGTGTGTAATTCTACTACAGGTGTCGTTCAAGAGGCACACACAGGGACATAATTCATGATTACCTCACACATTCACGACTGAAACACTCTCATGCATTAAAGTGAAGAACTCTCACACTCATGTTTGACACCCTCTCACATTAAGTGCTGAAAAACACACTGCTGAAACATTTTTACACACTATTGAAATGTTCTCGCACACCCCACTGAAACACTGACACACTTGACTGAAACACAAGCTCATACTCACTATTTAATGCTCTCAGAAGCACTACTGAAACACACTTTACTGAAAGGCTTCCACGCACACCAGTGAAACTCTCTTATACACAACGGAAATGCTTTCACACGCACTGTTGAAATGCTCTCACACCCTCCCCGAAACACCCTCACAGAAACTATTTAATTGCGCTCAAATGTGCGACTGAAACACTGACACATTACTGAAAGGCTTTCATGCACATTATTGAAATGCTCTCGCACTCTCTGTTGAAACATTGTCACACACATGACAGAAATGCTTTCATACACGCTCGTGAAAAGACGCGACTTAAATGCTCTCATACTCATGGTCGGGGGGGTGATGCGCGATGTGATTTCTGCCCAGTGCTCTAAATGTCAAAGTGAAGAAATTCAACCTGAGAGGCAATTAAGAATGCTCGTCTTTGCAAACAACAGTGACGTCATTAAGATGCGCGCGCATCTTGGACGCAATGTTTGCAAACATTGAAACTGGTCTATAGATGATGCACAAGAAGGCCTGCAAAAACTAGCATTTTATGCCATTCCTAGCACAGCGTGCAAAGGTGACGGTGCTGCCCCGGAGCTGCGCTATAAGCACACTGATGAGTTTACTCAACGGTCACTTCCAATAATGCTGATCAAACCCATTTCCATCTCAGGCCCGTAGGATTGCCAGGCAGCCCTGTCATATCTGATATCTCCCTGATCCGCCTCTCTCCTGCATCCATGGCGACCGGCGACTCCCCCTTCAGCTCCCCTCACGTGTACGTCAACCCTCACATGGAGCACTACCTGCGCCCGGTGCACGGTGGCCCAACGCTGTCAATGATCTCGGCAGCCAGAGGCCTGAGCCCCACTCACTGTAAGTATCACCAAAGTTGAACTTTTACTCGGCAAGCGTGTTTTAGCGGAGGTAAGAAAGGCCCCGAGCTGAAACGGCGTCCACATATAACCTGCTGCGATTTCAATCAAAGAAAGGTGATTTGCAAGCAGCCTGGAATTAGAGTACAAGATTGGAAAGCAGCACTGGACATAAATCTTCTTCTGCATTCTGTCATGGCTAATGGTGGAAAGATTCAACGTGAAATAAAGCTGCTAAAAGCACAGCACGTGGAAGCATGCTAGGTGAGAGAGAACAAATATGAAGCTGCCTGTCTGAGAGGTATGCGGATCATCTTGGACCGCAGTGCTGGCACCGCTGCGCCTGCAGCGCTTTGGGAGGGACTGTGTGGTGAAATCCGGCTCATGGTACCACGTGAATTTGTTTCCTCAGTGGCTCACGACCATTTCAAAGATGGTGGCCTCTTTGGGCTCCCTCCACCTTCTCCGACTGGGGTGAGTCTGACCAGAGAGTATTACCAGTTGATGGCGAGCCACCATAGCTCCTATGGGGAGCTGCTCATGCAGGGGGGAGGGTTAGCCGCAGGGGCCCACCTCTCAGACTACATGACCCCCATTGATGGTGAGTCATAAACTTCGTCATCATCATCATCTTCATCGTCATTGTCACAAAAAAACGAAAGATTGCTCATCAGTCTGAATAATTTCTTTTGAAAATCAGGTTGAGCATGCTCGCGAGTCTGCAGTGTGCGGCCCGTTTCAAGGGCAAGCGTTCTGTTTGTTCTTATTTTGGTCAACGTGATGATGTGGCGTAACATTATGTTTCGAATTCCGAAAGTTACAGAGTATTCATGTCACAGCAACACAACATGCAGAGAATAAACAGGAAACAGTAGATCACGTGTTTTTCACACTTCATATCAATCTCATCGCTCTCGTTTGCTGAGAATCGGAATCAATTCTCAGTAAATTGGCCTCATTAAACATGGTGCGGTGAGCCTGTCCCGGCATATCTTATCTGAGGTGATTATGTGGAATTATCAATTAGCTATGTCTGAATCCTAATGAGGATAATGTTGCACATCAGTTGCAGCGGCAACACAAAGTTAGAGGGTGTAGCTTCGGAGGTCATGCCACCAACAAATTAAGTATTTCATGCGCATGTTCTACCTTCTGGCTAATGAAAACTGGCATTCAACGTGCTTGAGAAGAGCCCAACGAACACGCCAAGGTGATTTCAAGGCTTCTGACCTGTGTGTCCGCAGTCTCCCGACTGACTCCCAGGCTGAGCAGGAAGAGGACGCTATCCATCTCGCCGCTGTCCGACGCCAGCGTGGATGTTCAGACCATGATCCGCACATCGCCGAGCTCGTTGGTGGCGTACATCAACAACTCCCGGTCCGGCTCCGTTGCCAGCAACTCGTACGGACACCTGTCGGTCGGAGGAATTAGGTAATGAGGGTCAACTGAAAGCAAAACTTGCATTGTGTTATGATGAACTGTTAATTATGGCAGAAGATTGCTTCCAGACCGACCTCGGATAGATGAAAATCCACGACCTAGAGGCGATTTATTTAACCTTAAGTTGAACTGCGATATTTCGGAGGAACACTGTGTGCCACCTTGAGTTTGGATGAATGAACATGTGATTCTGGTATGTTTGGAACTGCAGCCCATCCTTGGCCTTCCCTCATCCCATCAGCCCTGTGGCCTACCAGCAGCTGCTGACTTTGGGCCACACTCCACCACTCATCCAGCCGGCGGCCGCCTACCCCAGCTGCCACCCGGCCCTCGGCCTCTCCGCGTTGTCCGCTCCCGGCCACGGCACTGACTTGGCACCCCAAGTAAATGTTTTTACCGAAACCCTTTGCGTTGTCTTATTTGGTAATTGAGGGGGTTCCCATAATGCATTTGCAATCCTCGTCGTTATGTAGGGTTTGGGTTGGGCAGAGGGAAGTACCTTAGCGTATGAAGGTTTTTTTTTTTTTTTTTTTAATCAGTGTCATCTCGCATGGTCATCAGGAGCACTTAGGAAAGTCTTTTATATTAAATATGACTGTTCAATAAATCACCATGGGGCCAAAGAAAGTTTGAAAGTGACGAGGAATACCACAACATTAAAAAAAACTCATAGCAAAGCATGAAAACGACGGATTCCGCATAAAAAAAAACAAAACTTTTCTCCTCCCTCTCCGTCATATTTTGTATGCCATCAAGTCTTCAATAAAGGTCAAATTGATGTTAAACTTGAATATATCCATTTCTATTCCTTTCACATTGTTTTGTGTATGCTACATTGTAGTTAGTCCCAATATAATGTACCGTCTGGAACAGAACACAATTGGATTTACATTATTCCCTATGGGAGAATATTGCTTCAGTTTTCGTATGATTCGATATGAGCGCGACTTTTCCGAATCGATTAAATCAAGAAAATTGAGGTTGCACTGAAATATTGAGCAGAGTGCCTAATTTCATGCAGGAGATGGATGCGCAACATGATTTGGCAACTTCTTTCCAAAGCATTTTAACATTGACTAGCTTCTTTGAAATCATCCTAAATGTGTTGTTCTTTTCAGAATCCCTGTGGAGAATCCGTCATGAACTGCACAGTTGAGCCTGTCATCACCAAGCGGTCAAAGGTGAAGCCCGAATCCAAGGCACCAAGTTCCCTGGTGAGTATATATCCAACACCAACGTGGCCCTCCTCCAGCCTCCTTGTGAAACACATTTCAGATTTAGAAAAAGTCCACATGCACCATAAGAGCTTTGCTTCGCCCCGCACTCTCATTACACCCCTCCAACAGCCCCGCTCTCCCGGGATGGTGTAAACTGTGCCAGTGTACTTCATTTTCATGAAATATTGGCCAGTGGATCGCCGTCATGTGAGGATTTTTTTTTTTTCTGGTTCCATGACAAATTTCTGCCTGCTAGTGGACAGCAAGGCAAGTTTGTGTGTGATGCATGAGCGCGGCGCCGTGCGCAGGCGTCTTGGGGCCACCACAATTGATGAAGATCGGGTGCCTGGGCTAGACACAAACACGCCGCAGTCAGCATGTTCACGTGCACGATTGCACGTGCGGATGCTCATCATTTCACTGAAGAATCAGTCTGACCAAAATGTTCAAGAGATTTGACAAAACTTCAAATATTTGCAGAAAGAGGGACATTTTGTTCTTCCATCTATTGTTTTCTTGAAATATTTGAGGTAGACAAAGAACAAATGGATGGCAAATCTCATAGAAAGTGCATGTTAAGGAAGCCAATGTTCTTTTAAAAGTGTGAAGGCTCGTGTGTTTTATAAATTGAATGTGTTGTATGAAATACAGTGAAACTCCTCTACAACGAAATCATGTTTGCAACAAGGAATTTTTCACAACAGGGGGTTTTTCACTGTAGCAAATTTGATCTCAGATGTAAACACACACACACAAACATAAGTGTACTCGCACACACAAACGTATGTGTACTCTTTATTTTTATTCCAATAGTGCATAAGCCATAAACTTATTTGACACTTCATATAGTCAGTGTAAAAAGAAAAAAGGGAAAGAAATTGTGAAATTTCTGATCAGCATTCACTTTCACTTACATAAATTTCTTTGATAATGTCTTTTATTTTGCTTCCTCCGTCTTTCATTTTGATCACTTTTACCCTCTCTTCCAGTATCAGAGCTCTTCTTGTCTTAGCTGCTTGACATCCAAAGGTCCGTTTTGTAGCCATTTTAGCAATGCAACGTTCCTGCTGCGTTTGAAACGAACAATAACAAATACTTTCTGGACTACTGCGCATATGTGGTGGTTGCTCGTGCTGTTTCCAAACGAAACAGTAGAGGTCGCTGTTGGATTAGACTTCATTGTAGTGAATCTCGTCGCGAGGCAAGAGCAGAGAAAAAGATTTCGTATAACGCAACAGGGTTTTTTTTTGTTGTTTGGGGGGCAGGAAAGTGGGAATGGTGTTAATGCATGAAGATTTTTTTCACACTAGGGGGTATTTTCGCCCATGTAGGTTTCGTTGTAGAGGAGTTTCACTGTATATAACGTGCTCAAGAGGAAAGCCGTTCATGGTCATGGGAGAAAGCTTTGAAGGCCATCAGTGGACACCACTGCTTCTCGCCCACCGTAAAGCAAGCAGATGTCACACGCAAGCGCGCTGCTAAAAGTAACACAACCAGCCCACACACGTCATTCCGTGTCGGTTGTTGATGTTGTGGACCCACAGATGAACAAAACGGGTGTACCGTCACAGAACCATCAAGGTGTCTCATTGGAGCTTAAGGTGGACGTGGAACGTGACGAGTGCAAAGCAGAGCTGGAAGCCACGTCGTACGAGTCCAACTGTCACTGGGAGGGCTGCAACACTGAGTACGAATCACAAGACCAGCTTGTGCACGTAAGCATTTCAGTCACGGCATCCAGGGCTGACAGTTTGTTGCGTTAAGGAAGCCGAACACATACCTTTAGAAACTGTCCTAATTCAGTCGTGTGTTTCAATAGTAAGTGTTGGAGGTAGTCTGAATGATTTCCATAACAGCTCCTCATAGTCCTGTGCCTTTTTTTCTCCACGCCGCCACATGTGACTGACTGTATAAGACACAGTAAGCGTGAGTTTCTAAAAAACATGAGAAGAGAGAATGCGCAAGGATATTTCAGGTTTCATCAAATACACACGAAAAAAAAAAAGGATTTCAATCGCTGTGTTTGATTGTGACCGGTCCAGGGACGGACGAGTCGAAGTCAGCTGGGATAAGCTGCAGCACCCCGTGACCAATAGAAGGATTCACTGTATAGAAATGAGATCGATTGATGATTTTAATATAGAAATTGTATGATAAACTGCGACAAGATGAATTTCAATCGTGCGCGTGTACGTCCCACAGCACATCAATAACGAGCACATCCACGGGGAGAAGAAAGAGTTTGTGTGCCGCTGGGAGGAGTGTTCTCGGGACCAGAAGCCCTTCAAGGCTCAGTACATGCTGGTGGTTCACATGCGCCGGCACACAGGAGAGAAACCGCACAAGTGCACGGTGGGTAACCGATAGCCCGAGGAAAGGCCCGCGCCCCCCGAGGGGAGGACGGACACACTAACGCGAACGCGGCATTTTCCAAGAGAGCACCCATGACATCTTGTTTCCGTCTCATCTGTCGGCCGTAGTTTGAGGGCTGCGCCAAGGCCTACTCTCGTCTGGAAAATCTCAAAACCCATCTGCGCTCTCACACCGGGGAGAAACCTTACGTGTGCGAGCACGAGGGATGCAACAAGGCTTTTTCGAACGCCTCAGACCGAGCCAAACACCAGAACCGCACGCACTCCAGTGAGGTAAAAGTCAGTTGAGGCTTTATCTGCATGACACCTTCTTCAACAATGCATTGATTTGGGGAATCACGCCCTCCTTGGTCTCTGGAAGCTGCAAGGCCCTCACTTTGGCTTTCCTGTCTTCTCTGAATGTCGTTTGTTTGTATTGCTGATTTTACCCCTTTTTATAGCGGGACTCTCTTTTTGATTCAAGCAGATGTTTATTTGCGACACCGCATGTCTTGACAGAAACCGTACGTGTGCAAGCTCCCGGGGTGCACCAAGCGCTACACGGATCCCAGCTCACTGAGGAAGCATGTCAAAACAGTCCACGGCCCGGAGGCCCACGTCACCAAGAGGCAGCGCAGCGACCTGCTGCCCAGGCTAATGCCGAGGGACAACGGCGAGAACCAGAGTCTCCACACAGAGACGGTTCGTGAGAAAATTGCAGACGGCAGCTCCCCGGCAGGTGGGGAGGACTACGTGCACGTCAAATCCATCAAGACAGAAAATTCTGTGGTAAGACACCGATCCCTTCCCAGAGCATGATGGAACATTATAGGCCTCGAAAGAATATTTGCCAGGAAATACATCAATGTTATGGGAGTAGCTGGACAAAAATGTTGATTAGAATTTCACTGGCGTGAAGCGTTTTCCATGAGAGCCGTGCATGGTAATTTGCTCAATCTTTGCTTGGTTCCGCAAAGCCTGCGACTTTATTCTAACCCTCTCCATGAATCTCTCTTTCCTTACGGCCAGACCTTGTTAAGGTGAGCTCGATTTTGCCTTTTACTAATCCAAGTCATCATTTGCCATTCTATGCCATCTTGTTGACTACACTGCTATCATATTTTACCATCAAGGGAGATTCTAATGTACACCAGTGGACTTTGTTGGCCTGCTTTAAATCTGTGTTGAAGGGAGAAGAGCCTCTTTGTGGCTTGCCCATAATTAATATTGAAGGAACATGTAATCATTAGCTGTATTAAAATACTACACATCCATGGCAGCCGGTATGTCAGGCTGCAGCTGCAGAAACCTACAGTGGAGAGCCGTCACACAGTCTGAACATGATAAAAGCCGCTGCAGGATTAATATGCACAGACTGGGAATTGGTTTTGCTGCTCTCTGCAAACAGAGTCAACCATCAAGCTGTGATCAAGACAGCTTTTTAGCACTGAATACATTACAGGCTGAGAGGCAACAGGGTTCACAGCGATGCTGCCATTAGCTTCTCGAAAAGGCAACAACACTGATGACGTTCCAGTCAAAAGAACAAACACTCCAATTGCAAGGTGAAGTATCAGAGGGCTTTTTTTTTTTAAATCCATACATTTTGCAGAACAAATCCAAGGTTGGTGCCTTAACGTTCCTTCACGTTGAAAGGAAGCAGTGCTAAGATTGGGCAGCGAAAACACGGCCGCCTCTTGTGATGATTGGCCCGTTGCTCTGGCTCGGGCTCAAACCTCCTTTCATCCTGCCCATTTCCTATTCACAGACAGACTAAGATAGGCTGTAATCTGTGAAGCGCCCCCACCTCTTTAGCCCCTTCCGAAGAAAACACTCATTATTTACAATTACGATGGGCGAGGATAAAAGACAAGCTGCTCTCCGTGCCATGTTATTGCCGGTGATGGAGCGCAGCGTTTGACTGGCTGATTAGCCAGAGCTGTCATTATTGAGCATGACAATGACTCATCACCACCCCGGATCACTGTGACCTCCTCTGTGTTTGCAACTGGGACGAATGTTGATATTCTCATATCCCTTCGCTTCTTTGTAGATGCAGCAGTCCAGCCCTGGCAGTCACTCACTGTGCAACAGCAAACCATCACCGCTTAGTGAGGCCACCGACAATGACAGTGGAGTAGAAATGGAAAGGTTGGGCAGTGGAAGCCTGGGGGACTTCGACATGTGGTGGAGTCTATGGGTATTGATGATTCCAGTGGCGAAGAGGCAGCGGCAGCAGCTAGTTTCAGCGTCCAGCAGCGGCTCAGCTTTCATCCACATCTGGAGTCTATCAAGAAGAAGAAGGTGAGGGACTTCTGTCAATGGACTGCCAACCCCGTATTTTCCGCTGCCACCAGCACCAGCAGGCGGTGAGTGGGCGCTAGTCGATGGTAGCGCTCGTCCAGCGACTCACGTCTTCACCCGATGTTGTCCTCGGTTGCAGTGTTCCTCTGGCGGAGCGTAGGCTCTGGTCCTAGGTCTGCTGGGAAGCCTCTCAGAGTGCCATGACAGCGCTTCCTGCATGCTGAACTCACTTGATGCCCTCCAGCCTCCGCTCCTCTCGCAACTCTCCTCCTCACTGCTCCAGTCAGGCCTCACACTTGCACTACGACTCCTACAAGCCTATCTCAAACAATATCTCACCGTGCTCCAGTCAGAACGATCCTCGGAAACCTGACCCCGGCTCACACTACTCCCTCTGGGCAACTATATTACACCCCCTGTTGGTTTACAACCAACACCTCTGCCATTCATTGGGAAAAATTCATCTCCAAACCTGTTCAGCATTGTTTAGGGATTCCGACGAATCCTACTCAAGACAGGTGTTTGTGGATTCTCTTTACCTGTCACAAATGCAGTCATGCTGTCATGTTCTTGATGGAGAGAAGAGAGTGGGAACATTTTACACAGAAGGGCTTCATGCAATCAGATGGTAGCCTCCACCACACCCACAGCCTAAAGGACATTCAAGCAAAGGCAACAACACATCTCCACCGTTTCATTTCGACGGGAGTGTGTGAGGCCGCACACTGAGCCCCGAACACAGACGCACCCATCACCTCAGCATGCGTAAGTTCAACTTGAAGGATGGAACTGTACAACTTCCTCACTTGATACTTTGCAGAAACCAAATCCGCCAGTACCACCAAAACAACCTAAATCATTAGGCAGCCACATTTCAAGCCTGCCAGGTTATGCAAGCAATGAAGTTGCAACAGCCCCGGTGACAATACTTTGTACGAAATGGGCCAGATCCTTTGACTTGGAATTAGTCTAGTGCTGCTTCCCGGTTTAGAGGAACAGATGAACTTGATTGACAGAATGCTGAATGATGAGAAGCACACCAATCTTTCCAAGTCTGTTCCAGAACTGGCTTAACCCTTGGTACCACCGGGGAAGAGAAACATGGCTCTTTTTGGAGTCCTTTAGATGAGATGTTCCTGAAACTGATGTGCGACATCAAAGTATTCCCTGGCATCCATCAAAGTCGCTAAGTGATGTGAAGAGGCCGATGTTACTATTGCTGCTGCTGCAATCTACTGTCCTCTTGTACAATGTCTTCTTTTTGACAAGCCATATTTGTAAGTAGCATGTAAACAACAGAATTTTTTCAGCAGTCGTGCAAGTGCCTGGCATATACACAGGTGGTTACATAAGTATATATATATATATAAATA